GCAATGCAGCCAGTTGGCCATGGACTGAAGCCTCTGAAACTATGAGCCAAAATAAATCTTTTACTTTTTTTTTTTTTTTTTTTGAGATAGGATCTTGCTGTGCAGTTAAGGCTGACCTTAACATCACTATGCAGCTGAGGCTTGCCTCAAACTCATGGTGATCCTACTGCCTCCACCCCAAATGATTACAGGCATGTGCTACTACACCTGGCAAGCGCAGCTTCCTCCCCATTGTGGAACAGAACCCTAGTCTCCCATTTGACTGTTGAGGATACTCACCATTATACTAACAAGTATGACTTTCTACTGTTTAAGCTGATTTCTTCAGGTATTTTGTTACAGAGAGGGAGATCTGACTAACACATATGAGCAGCAAAACAAAACACAGATAAATTGAACTTTGTGAATATTTGGGGAAAAACTTTTGTTCATTCAAAGATATTATCAAGAAAGTGACAGATAACCTTCAAAAAGGAGGAAAATGTGTGTAAATATATTATCTGATAAGGATGTATCTAGACGATATAAAGAATTCCTACAACTCTTCAATCAAAAGACAAATAACCTAATTTTAAAATGAGCAAAGGACTTGGATATATATTGCTTTAAAGATATACAAATGGCCAAAAAGCATGTGGAAAAAAATGTTCCACATCATTATTAAGGTGAAAATCAAAACCAGAGTGAACTCTATACCCTTAAGATGGCTAGAATCAGAAAAACATTATTCATTGTTAGGCTATGAAGAAAACTGAACCTTTTACTCTGCCTATGGGAATGAAAAATGGTGCACCCACTTTGGAATAGTCTGGCAGCTTCTCAAATGGTTAAACCTATGACCCACCTATCTGCTCTTATACCTATCCAAGAGAACTAACAATATATGTCCACATAAATCTTGCTTATAAATGTTTATAATAGCATTATTTATAATAACCACAAAGAGGCAAACAATTTACATGTTCATCAACTGATAAATGGTTAAGCAAATGTTGTATATTCATAAGGATAACATAGTATCCTTATGGAATATTGCTTGACCATAAAAAGGATCAACAACTGACACATGAAAAACTATGCCTGAAACTTGAAAATATGCAGTGTGAAAGAACTCAGTCAAAAAGGAGGTAGGAATCCATTTATATGAAATTTGCAGAATTAGGCAAATTTATAAAGATGGAAAGCAGATTACTGGTTCTTGATGGTGGCAGGCAATGGAGGTTTGAAAGTTACAGCTAAATGGTATAGGGTTTCCTTTCAAGGGAATGAAAATATTATAAAAAATAAAATCTACAATGATAATGCTTGAATGCATTGTGAATTTATTAAATGCCATTAAGTTCTAACCTTTAACTTGGTAAATTGTATGGTGTGCAAATTTTATCTTTAAAAAAAAAAAGAATTCTTAAAAAGTTGGAGAAACAAATTAATAGGGATAAAAGACACAATTAATCATACACTAAAAAATCAATTGGGAATTGTAAATAACCCAAAACCTGGCTGTATAAAGTCAATCTTATCAAATCCTGTTTTTGTTTTAGTGAAAAATAGTATTAGAAAGTTCTTAAAATTGATAGTTGCTATATACCTAAAGCCAATATGACCTGTAACAACCCAAACTGACAGAACAAAAAGATGTACTTGACACTGAAGTGATAATTCATCTTTAGTAATAATTATAAGAAAGCATTTATTAGTAGCCTACATATTTTTCCTTTATCACTTTCTTTTTACTCTCTTCCTTATAAAATTGAGGAAACTGAGCTTTAAATTATTGTTTTTTGTTTGTTTTTTCCTTTTTTCTTTTCTCTTGACCAATTTTGCATGCTTATATCTGGTAATCAGAACAACTGGTTTGAAGACAACAATATGCAATACAACAACCATGTCTGAATTCCTACCATCTTGTTTGATGAAGCTCTGTATCGTTTCTAATGTGTTTTTTATTTCTTGTTATTCTCTTTAATTGTTAGATCAATCTTGCTTTCTTGCATCTGGGAATCTGAGCAACTGCACTGGGGATAACGATATGTAATATAACAACCATTGTTAATTCCTGTCTTCTTATTTTGAAATCCTGTATTGTTTTTGTATTGTTTTGTTTTTCAGTCTTCATTGCTGTTATTTTGTTATTGTTTTCTTTTTCTCTTTAAAATAAAAAAAATAACAATTGCTTCAAAATGGCACAACTAGTAAATGATACAACTGGAATCTGTACAATTAGTCACCATCTCCCATCTTTTTCGGTTCCTAGTATTCCCACACATATTAAGTACTCAATAAACGTTAGCTAACCAAATACTTCCCGTTCATTGACACTGCAGTTTTCCTGGGTAAAATGAGAGAATTTACTTTGTGTCTTCTCTTTGCCTTGATTTTCCTGCAACCTCGGTGCATAAAGTTAAGTATCAGAAAGATAAAGATGAAAACATACGAGCACTCTAGGAAATTAAACCAAGGCTTGAAAGCACTTAAAGAGACTTATTTGTATAAACCATTGAGTGAAATGAACTGGACACAAATATCACATATGAGGATTTGTGTAATCTCTTCACATGTAAATTAGCATCTTGTGAAATTTCTTTTCATATATGCACCATTTTTTTTTTTTTTTTTTTTGTACCGGGAATCGAACTCAGGGCCTCTCACTTTCCAGGCCGGTGCTGCGCCGCTGAGCTACATTCCCAGCCTCATATAGGTGCTTTTTAACATTATTTTTTATTTTTCTTAATTATTTGAACGTCTGCACCTGTTTTAGGTGTAGTTCGAATTGCACTAGGAGATTTCCAGCCCTTGTTAGAATCTCCTGTTTCGGGTAAAAGGAGTTAAAAATGAAGAGTCTAGGCCCGGAGAAATGCAGACAAGAGCCCCACCCCCATTATTTGTAACTTCCAGGAATCCAGCCGGACTCTTCCTGCAGCCCCTGCGCTGGTTGTGAAGCTGTTCGGAGTTGCACCAGATTCCGCCCTTTGGAAGGGAAACCGCAGATAGCAGAGCTGTGCTCCTCAATTAGATGCCTGCAGTCACCTTTTGATCCCGTGACCCTGACACTTCGCCTGTCCTCTTGCCAGAGCCCCAGTGTCTGGCTTTAGAAATATTCCACTCCTCCCGCAGGCCTTTGAATGACAACATTTTTGTTACAGTACTTTAACGCTCTAATAAATTCCTCAGTTGTGGTTAGTATACCAGACTATTTAGACAAAGTCCACAAACTGTTTGGACTGCGGGGGAGGTTCTGGCGTTCGCCTTCCCGGGCTGGTTCAGATCCTTCCAGAGAGCCTCGGATGTAATTACGTCTTTGGGAGGATTCTGGAAAAAGCTTCTTGAACTAAATATCATCCTCAAAACAACTTGGAAAATCAGGGAAATTCGTATTGCATCGATAATATAAAGTCACTCGGTGACTTACAAGAAAAAACACATCATCTAATTTTCTTGTAGAAAAAAAGTGATACAAACGAGGAATTAATAGGCACTGCGGGGAAATTAGAATACTGTTGATTCCAGTCCCGGGGGAGATAGATTAGTCCTAGATTTATTTTGTTTGGCTTGTTTGATTGGGTTAAGAGAATTTTAGAAGCCCAGAGCCTATCTAGGGCTACCCTGTGGCTTCTGAGTACTTGAAATATGGCTGGTTGAGAATAAGAAATTTAGCTTTTTTTTTGGTCCGGGAATCGAACTCAGGAGCCATGCACTTGCCAGGCAGACGCTGTGCCGCTGAGCTATATCCCGGGCGAGAATAAGAAATTTAATTTTTAACTTTACTGTTACTTAGTTTAAATATAAAAAGACTATACTCAATTCAGTTATTAAAAAACTGTTAAGTATGTTTGATACCTGAGTATGCTAGTCTATTTTTTCAACTACATATTTTATGAAATTCTACACATGAAATATTTCTGATGAGATATAGCACACAAAAGACTCCATATTAAAATAAGGTAAAAGATTTCTTTAATAATTTCTTTATATTGATTCTATGTTGGAAAGACAATGTTTTAGGTAATCTGAGTTAAATACAAAATTAAAATTAATTTTATTTATTTTTTCACTTATAAAAGTGGCTACTAGAAAATTTTAAATTATATGTGAAATTTAGCTTATATTTCTACTGAACTGCACTGATCTAAACTTTACTGCTAACCAGCCACTGCCTATAGCTCTGTTGCTAGAATCAGGTGTCCATGTAATGGTGCCATACTTAACCTTTAGATCCTATGGGCTGGGTCATCTTACACTCCTGACAACTTTAATCTTGTCAAGAATGATATGAAATAATCCATGTCAAAGCAAACTAATTTTATATTAATTCAGTCACACTCTAAGTTTGGCTTCAAAACGGGTGCTAGTACGGACTACAAGTCCCATTGTTTTACAGACCTGTAAACAAAACATCTGAGATAGAAACAATCCTGAACAATGAAAGGCGGGGCAATAAGGCATCAGTATAAGCTACGTCGGGGTGACCAGACAATGTACAGGATGTCCAGATAAATTAGAATTTCAGATAAACAGCAAATAATTTTTCACTAACTGTCCTGTGTAATACAAGAGTGTCTTGTATTTTATTGGCTAATTTTGACAACTCCAAGAAGCAAAGGCTAAAGAACATTCGAGAAGAAAGAAAACCCTTCCCTTGAGGATCCTAGCCCAGTTCTACAAAGGCCTAATGATGTGTACAGAATTGTCAACTCTCTTTAGTAAATAAACAATGTGTGCCTTGCCTTTGCAGTACTGTACTCTGCTCACCTGTGGATAAGATCTAACTTCCGCCTTTGGGAGAGAGAACAGTGGAAACAGTATGGTTTATACTTCTACATTTATAACTTTTTTTATGTTAAAAATAAAAGGAGGACAACATTAACAGACATACAACATTTTACAACATCACAAGAACAGTACAGACAATACAGAGTTACAAACAAAGTGGTAGGGAATTAACAATGGTTGTTGTATTACATATTGATATCTTCAAAGTACATTTATAACTTTTCCTTTAGTCCATAGGCTGCCATCTTAGGAGCAGTTCGAATACAAGATTTGGTGGATCAAACCCGCAGAGGGTCTATATTGAGCAAATTCACAAATACAGGTAAGATACAAGGTCTTCCTACTTGCAGTGGACAAAAGACTTAGGCATGACAAAGGACCCTCTCTCTAATAGAAAGATCATGTTGGGCAAGATGGCGGTAAAGACATCAAGACCTTTACATTTCCTCCCCAACCTCTTTTTTCATTTTAAGGCCCAAAAGAGGAAGTGGGAAGAGCACCCATGTGAAGCCACAAGAAGTGGGGAAGTAACCTACTTTGCATCCACGGTCGGCTCTTGTTGAGCTCAAGAAACCGCATAGGACCTACCAGCTGCCTAGGAAAACAGCAGATCCCAGATGTACCACTTACAGTTGTCTCTATCTTCAGATAATTGACTCCAGAACTCTGTGTAAATACAAAATCCCGGGATGCTCCGGTGCTGCAGGTAAAGTGGTGTATTTGCACATAGCATATCCAGTCTTCCTGTATACTTTAACTCATCCTTAAACTACTTCTAATACCATATAAATGTTGCATAAGAGTTGCTACACTGTGAGGTCTAGGAAATGACGGCAAGGAAAAGCCACCTGGACCTCTGAGTATCGATGCTACCTTCTTAGGCCATAGTACACAATCCTTGGTTAGTTGAATGGATAGATTCAGATCCCATAGATGCACAAGGCCTTTCTTGCAGGGTTCCCACTCCTGGAATTCCATTAGGATTCATTGCTAGAAGGCATCAGCTGACACAGTTTACTTAGTTCTTCCCTGTCCTTGGAGAGGGTTACACTCGACCCAAAAATACCTGCTTTGTTACCATCTCTCACTGCTGAATTGGAGCAGAGTGGGGGCTTCACTGCCATGGAGTTGACTGGATTATTTCATCTCTGTGGTCCCTGGCCTTGGATTTGCCATAACCAGGGTGTTTCTGGTCCTTTCAACTACTCTGCCATAAAAAAGATGAGATGAACTTGAGATATTCAGAGGTAAATGGATGCACCTTGGGACCATAATATTAAGTGAAATAAATCAGATTCACAAGCTTAAACATCACATGGTTCCTCTTATATGAGACACCAAAAGTATAAATCCTGTAAAGAGCAAAACAAAGGGAAGATAACAGAAAGTAGGGAGAGCTTTCTCAAATGGGAAGGGGAACAAGAGATAGAGGGAGGAGGAGAGATAAAGGGGATAGAAAAAAAGAATTGAAGAAGTGGAAATAGCACTTTGGCAAATGGGAAGGGAACTAACAGAAGGAGCAGGGAGGGTTGAGGGGGGGTGGGGGACAGAAAAGAATTAAGATGTGTTATGTACACGTACAAACTCTACATGGTAAATTCAGTCATAATGTATTGCAAACATGTCCTAATAAAGCAAAACAGTGCCATGCAATCCTAAAAGAAAAGCAATTTTAATTTAGAAATTTAATTAGGATGTATGAGGTGGCTGAGGGTAAGATCAAGTCAAAACAAAATAGAAGATTTGCAGATAAAGCCATCCTACATGTTTGAGTTTCTGAGTCATTGAGCCACTACTTTGGTGGCCCATTGTCACACTATGTGCCAGACTGCAGGCTTTTGACTTTTGTTCAGTAAATGCCTGCCATGATGAAGCCGCAAACCAAAGAGGTTGTGAAACTTTGTTAATGATTTCTTCATCCATTTCCTGCAAATAAACTTATAACTTTGATATATGCACATTTTAATGTGAGTACAGAAACTTCTTCAAGATGAAAGGGTGTAAAGTATCTATTGACTCTGTAGATAAATACTAATAATGCTTTGGTGAATTTTAAAATATAAAAAGAATTAAAACACATGACAACAAAGGAAAGTAGGTCAGAGGATAAAAATGTTGGAAGTGTTCAATGGTTTTTACTTTGCTCTAGGAAGAGGGTCAGCATATCAATGGACATTAGATTTTGATATTATATACAGGTACTGTAATTCATAGGACAACTATTCAATTTTGTTTCTATAATAAGACAAGGGCTAAAATAGAATAAACAGGATGGCATGAACAAAAAGCACATAGTCAGGTGGCAGTTTTAAATTCAAATACACCCACAATCACTGAATATAAATGAACTAAATACCCCAATTGAAAAATGAAGGACTATCACACTAGATAAAAACTCAATATTGAAATGAATCACATCCAGCAAGAAAGGTACATAGAGGCTTAAAAGAAGCCAATGGAAAAGGACATACCTTGCAAAGCACTAAACAAAAGAAAGTGGACCTACATTAATTTCTTACTCCTCTTTTAAATAAAAAGTACTGTAAGAGATACAGAGGGACAATTCACAATAAAATGTTTCATTTCACCAGGAATAAGTATTCTGGAATTCTATTCTTCTAATAAGATAACCAAAACTAGACAAAGTAAAAATTGTCAAGCAAAGCAGGAGAAACAGACAAACAACCATATCAGGAGAATAAACACACATATTTCACTGACCTGGAAGAAGCAGGTCAAGAGTTAATAAGAACATAGAATACTTGAAGGACAGTTCCTGAAATCCTGATCTAAATGACATATATACCTAGTAAACACAGGATACATATTCTTAGATACATTTACAAACATCTGTCATTTGCTTATTCTTTGCCACCCTTATCTATTCCTACATAAAAGCTCTTACTGTGTGTTAGAACCTGTCTGCCTTCCATATTAAATTTATGTTTGTATAACATCAAATAGTATTCTTGACCTCAGAGACTCCTTTGATGCCGTCAATTTTGAATCCTATACAGTCTGCTAGTGCTACTAAAACTTATTTTTTTCTTTTTGCTTCCATTTATCTATTGTGTGTTTTTTATATAAATTAGTTTAGGATGAATCTTCAGTCAACAGAAGATAATTGGTCTTTGTTCTACTAACACATCAATTTGAGAATTTCCTCTTTTAAAAGGAGGTTTATCACCTTTATAGGTCATTTTATAAGTGTTATATGAGTTCTGATTGGAAAATACACTGAATGTTTAAATTAAAAAATGGTACAGTAAACAGTTATTTCAGTAAGTGATTAATCCCCTCCAAATACTCCCCCTTGATTTGAATACACTTATCTCACTTTTCTTGACACTTTCTGAAGTAGTTTTGGAAGTTCACTTCTGTGAATATCTTTTATTTTCCCTCATGAATTACCTTTATTTTTTTTAAATACAGTATATTCCTTAGCCTATAGTTTTCAAATCATTAGAATGAAGAAACATTCGCCTTTTTGGCCATCCCAATATAAGAACAGTATTTAATACATTTTTAATTTTATTTTCCCCATTCTCATCTTGGGCTTTGTTAATGTAATATTGTTATAAATTTACACAACTCATTACTGTGCATCAAAATATTTTATCTTCTTTTGTGAAGACAATTGTTATTTGCATTCAGTTTTCAATAATTTGGAGCTCTATTAATTTTAACATATTTCACTGCACATTGCCAAAACTACAATTATTTTCCTAATTTCAAACCTTTACTTTGATTCCTTAATTGGCTATAATTCTTCTTCAGGAAACTTTTTTTTCATAGAGAGCACATTCCTAATATTTTAGGAATCCTAATATTGCTAATATATCTAGGTCCTTTATGTGGGGATGTTTTTCTGTCACCTTCCCATGAAAGTACATCTTAATAGTACAGAATCCCTGGATCACGACCTTTGCCTCTCAAAATTACTTTCAGGTTCTCACTATCATCTGTCATTTAATCTACATCATGGAACTTTGATACAAGCCTAACTTTTTCATTTTGATTCACAGATTAGCTTTTTTCCTGATTACTTCCTCAAATAAAGGTTTACGTTTCCTTTATGTTGTTGAGTCATTTTCTGAATTACGTGTTGCTGTGAAATTGAATGAAATATAGTGAACCTTATTTTGAATACAGGAGTCTTTCTTTGGCTCAAAAAGTTGCCTTTCCTTCATACAAAATTTCTGTACTTGAAATGTGCTAAGCTAGAATTTAGAAGTTCTCAACACAAACACACATATATAAAAGCTCTGTGATGGCTTCATTTTAACTTTTGCAACATTTTCTGGATAATCTGGGTGCAGAATGTATAAAAACAAACAAAAAGACAAAAAATCTGTTTTTCTTATAGCTTATTATTAGTCTAGTGAGCAAGATAGTCAAGAAATTTCTACTAGACCATTACTAGTATTATCAGCACCTTACATGTTTTGGACACTTACTGTGCACAAGGATCTGGGTTAAGACCTTTGTATTTATTATCTCACTTAATTCTGAAGACAGAGCGAGGATCTGGTACCAATCAGATAGGTAGGTAAGGAGACCATGCCCCAAGGTGTCCAGAGGTCAGTATGTTAGCTGAGCTGAGATTCAAACCCACTCAAGAAGAGTAGGGAAGAACATGTCCTAACCAAATTAATAACCAGCTTGGTGAATTTGAGGACATAAAAAAAAACCTGTGGCTGAGGAATAGGGAGTGAGGGCAAGGAACAAAAGCTAAAGAAGTAGATGCAAGCCAGATCATGCCTTTTCTGGGAAATTTGCAAATTTGGCTTCCATAGCATCCTTTTATTTACTCTTCACTGCTCTTGAGGCTAATTTTAATTCTACTACTATGCCTTTAATTTCTTGCAGACCTTCTGTATCCCAGCCTCCATAACTTGAAAGCAATTCCATCTCCCCTTTCTCAAATTTCATTGTTCAGTCACAAGCTCCCTTTTATCTCAGCCTCTTTGGACGATACAGGAGAGGGATTATGGCAACTTTAACCAAGTTGAGAAAGCTAAACAAATAGAGGTCTGAATCCTCACATGGACTCTGCCTTAGGTAATCCTCAGACTGCCTCTTCTTAGTCATTCACATGCTGTGCTGGTACATGGCTCTAGAGTAATTTTAATGCACCCCACTTTTAAACACTTGGAGGAGGCTTTGCTTTCTTCTCGTTCCTAACAAGATGGAGCACATTCAATTCTCAGGGGAAGGTGAGGTGAGAAGGTAGATCTTGGTCTCTTTATCTATATGTTGTATGATGATAAATCAGCTTCCAAATTGTAGATATTGGTGGGTATTTCTAACCTCCAGCCTGATTCCTGGTTCTTGGGAGGTTTTCACATCTGTTTTTCTGTTCAAAAGAAAAGAGATAAGGGTACACTTTCAGGGACAATTTCTATAGTGTGTGACTGGAGAAGTTTCTCGGATCATGCAGAGTACCAGAAAAGAGGTCACTTTCTCCACTCCTTATTGATGTTCTTTGATTTCTAAACAATATTTGCAAAACAAAAACTTCCAGAATGCACAGCCTTTGAGAGTTTTCCATTTTTCATTCGCACTCTACTCTAAAAGACAGTTCCTGTTGGAATAGACAGGGCCACAACCTACCTTCTCCATGTGCTTCTTTTGCTTTTCTGGACTTAAAAATCTTTACAAGGGCACACATAGTTAGGGGAGTGAGATTTGGAAGAACGATTTTCTTGCCTTACAGAATATGTTTGTAAGTTTCAAAAGGATGCTTCTGCTGTTTTGTCATTGAAAGCATCTTAAAATCTTTTATAAATATCACACTGCATTTCCTAAGGATTGGTTTGTCTTACCCTGAAGACAGAGCAGAGATTTTCTCAGTTCAGTTCTGCTTTATATTTAGAATAATTGATATTAAGTTCTGGCAGGTTGTTACTCTGAATTGTCGTCTTTGTCCAGGTGGTCCTGAGAATCTGGAAGCCTTCTACCATTTTTAATCTATGGTATATTTTAGTGTGTGTTTGAATTTAAATAGAGAACATAGACAGGGTTTGGGGGACTAATACCTAACTTCTAAT